TAATGAAAAATTTCCACAATAACTTTTTATACGCCCGCACATATTTTTGTTCTTTTTAATCTGGGAATGTAAGTTGGTTGACCGTACGCGAGCATAAAATATACGTATATTAATGTATAGAGGTTAACAGATCAAACTTAAGATATAAAATATAGATTTCCTGAAGTCCAAATATGCCTCCAATAACACATATTTCAGCATGATCTCAGCGCTAGTTCACATAACCGTTGTCAACAAAGACTAGTACTGATATCAAATCCAAAAAAAAGGCGCAACTGTAACAACGCTTTCCACGTGGTATACAGGTTACAACTTCAGAAATCGGGAGGGAATCGAATCCGTTGTTCGAGTCTCGCTTGATATCAATTTGATTGATTATCTCAAATTGATTCTTTAAATAATCATCTTTGATAGGTTTCCGTTCATTCTTGCTATGCCTTCAAATACGAAAATTTCAGTCTGTAGAGAAATAAAATCTAAAACAGCTTAAATTAGCAAACATACATTTTCCCTTTAGTACACCGTGTACACGACTTCGCAGAATAAAAAAAAAATTATCTTTTTTTCTTGGCAGAAGATAAGCTTAATCGTGTTTGTTAGAATAGAAGGCGGGTTCGGCAAGAATTCCATTCCTATTCTTGGAAAATGTGATAATATCTTGTACGACTAATAGTCCACTGATTCCTTATCTGAGTGACCTTTGACATTTTCTGCAGGAAGCATCGTGTTTCATTGTCCTTTTCAACTTGAAAGCTCTGCAATGACTATTTGTTTTACTTTTGTAACTGACCATGTAAATCAACATAACATCAAAGCATGTCGTTTAACATATTTTTCGCGGTGTACCGTCATGTTATAAAATAAATTTTGTTCATTCAGACGCAAATGAATTGAGTCATAATGTGAATATACTTACCAAGCTGTAGAATGGAGCAGGGTCGTTTTAAACATAACGCGATGTAAAGTGGAGTGGGTCATTACGTTATCTTGACTTTACTGGGTCATTTTCACATTCATTACGATTTTAATAATAGTTTACTAAAATATTTCTTCAACCTGTAAATTCCATTATATAATAGGCCAGTTGAAATCGAACTGTCACAAAGACGCAGAAAATCGCAACTGTCGATGTGTAGTTGTTATTGTTTGTTATTAAGCACAAAGCTACACAAAGGGCTATCTGTGCTCTGCCCACCACGGGTATCGAAACCTGATTTCTAGCGTTGTAAGTCCGCAGACATATTGCTGTACCACTAGGGGATGTTGATATGTAGGTGCAAATGAAATGAAAGCTTATACGTTTGTCTTTAAGCGCAAAACTACACAATTAGCCATCTGTGTTGTGCCCACTTCTGGTATGTAACTCTGAATTTTAGTATTATAAGCCCTCAACATTACCGCTGAGGCAAAGGGGTCAAGAAATAAAAAAAACAAGTATTTTCATGATATTTAGGCTTAATGTTATGATTTTAAATGCCAGATATATTTTCTACATGCTTCTTAATTAATCCAAAAATATAAGAAACTAAAAATGTTTCTTTCTTTTATTGGCTTCTGACATTTCAGCTTAACCTAAGCCACTAGAAGTCTAAAACATTATCACCAATCAAACAATATATTCACAAAGTTACCGCTTACGAATGGAACGTCAAATTTTGTTATTAAAGCCATGTTTTAACGGATTTTGTGGTATGTACTGTAGTATATTATTATTATTACCTTTCATTTCAAGACCAAATGGACATAAACTTATTAGGAACAGACTGATAATCGATTAACAAACTAATTTTCTTCGAACAGCTAAAATCCGGAGTTTGAGTCTTGCAATGGATACAGCACAGGTACCAATTACAGATTTTGTGCGTGCTTAAGAAATTTTTTCTTTTTGCAAATTTATAACGTTTTTGATACAACTTGTTTTAATAAATAGGAAAAGTGTTTTGGAGGAGAAGAGAGGATTTTGCTTTGGTGTTGAGGGTATTATAATAGAGTTTTGGTTTTATTGGACTGCCCCTGCCTATTTCTCTAGTACGTCAACGTTTCGGTTACTATACTAAGGTCTTCGTCATTTCGAAAGCCGAAACGGAGCAGCCCAAAACTGTACGATGTCTGCACTACCTAATGTTCTCTTGAAGCAACGGAATAGTATTATAATAATAATAATATATATCATATTATAAATTTATATATAAATAATTATACTTTGATAAAAATATTGAAATTGAATTATGTAATACAAAGACACTTTTACATTTCAGTTTCATTTATTCTATGTTTTGTTATGGTATTTAAACTGACAACATAATGAAAGTTTATCAAGGCGGCCATTTAAAGTAGGCCTAAGACAGTTTCGGTAAAGTCCTTTGTTAAGTACTCGACCGTCTAATTTGCAGTATAATTATATGAGATTACCAGTATATTCTAGACTTCTTTCATTATATTGGGGAAATTTCCCTCGTTAAATTGTTATAGTTCGAGAATTGGTGTCAAAAAATACATCAGTTTGACACAACAACAACTAGATACAGAGTTATACACTAAAGTGTATTTAACAACACATTCACGTTTTATCTCTTCTGCCATATTAATTTTGCTAACGTTACTGTCATAGTTATAATAACTGCCGCAGCTGATGGGATTTTTAGTCTTAACACATAGAACTTGTGTTCAGGGTCGGATTGGCATTAAAGGACCAGCCCGGGCTAAAGAATTAGAATTTAAAATCAGTTTCTAAGAATGCGTCAATTCACCAGCCCACAGGGCAATTGCCCTCTGTTTCAGTGGGGCAATCTGACACTGCTTGTGTTATATTCAGAATTAAATGTAATATTCAACATTATTTAATAATATAAAGTGTGTTTATCTTTATCAAACATTTAAATATTTTTCTCCACCCCACTCCCTCGTGATTCAGCGGCAAGATTTATGGCTTACAACGCAAATGATCGAAGTTCGTGCCTGCGTTGGGCACAACTCAGATAGCCCTTATGTAACTTTCAGCTAGAACTTGAATAAACGGCATTAAATAATCTTGTTTAAATGACATTTAGTTAGCAGGCTAGAGCATTTTGTTAAGCCTTTTTCTCGATAACTTCGGCAAAGCTTAAACGAATCACGTTTTAGTTAGTTTTAATATAATAAAAAAGACTATATATTCGCTATCAAAAGTAGAGATAAATATCTACATTTATAGCGTTCTCGCTGAATTACTGTGATGTCGGAGCATGGTTTTATCATATACATTCTCACACTGAAAGCTAAAACATGGTGAGCTTTTTAAATATTGTCATGTATTCGCATGCTTAATGTAACTTTGTTCACCATTTACCTGGGCTATCTTTTATACACCTGCATAAGGAAACATCTCGGATATGCAAATTAGATAATGATTTAAGACCACGAATGTACGGTACTATTATTTCAACACAACGGGTTTTATGGTCCAGCTACTAAGGAAGACCATAATGTACAGTGCTGGTATTGTTTCAACACAACGGGTTTTATGGTCTAACTACTAAGGAAGACCATAATGTACAGTGCTGGTATTGTTTCTACACAATGGGTTTTATGGTCCAGCTACTAAGGAAGACCATAATGTACAGTGCTGGTATTGTTTCTACACAATGGGTTTTATGGTCCAGCTACTAAGGAAGGCCCCGAATTTACGGCGACTAATTTCTCCAACAAACTATATATTGAAATGTTACTCTTATTTATATTTTCAATATATAAACTTTACATAAAACGAAATATGTTTATTATTATTATATGTTTAATACAGTTTTTGCTTTGTTTTTTATGAGGGTGCTGCACATTTTATGTAAGTTTTCAATTTTGAGTTACATCTGGTTTTCGTGTGAATGTTTTAGAACAGATGTACAATAGACTATGTTAATCATGAGGGTTTTATAGTTAATAATACATAAAATATCAGTTACATAACCGTACAAAAACAATAATAATACATAAAATATCAGTTACATAACCGTACAGAAATAATAATAATACACAAAATATCAGTTACATAACCGTACAGAAATAATAATAATATATAAAATATCAGTTACATAACCATACAGAAATAATAATAATACATAAAATATCAGTCACACAACCGTATAGAAATAATAATAATAATACATAAAATATCAGTTATACAGCCGTACAGCACTAACTCGTTTGCACGTCTATCTCTATCTGTTAAATACAAGCTGTGTATTTCATTTAAGTCTGTTTGTAATTAAGCACAAAGCTACACAATGGGCTATCTGTGCTCTGCCCACCACGGGTATCGAAACCCGGATTCTAGCGTTGTAAGTCCGCAGACATAACGCTGTGCCACTGGGGGGCTCATTTAAGTCACAATTCTCAGCTGACTTTCCACTAATTATATAGGCTTAGCTTCAAGTGCTCATATTTATCTCGTGTAATTCGCTGGCCATTTGTTAACCACCACTAAACTCACTCGATAAATACTAAAATAACTCTTCGATCCTACCAAACTCTCTCTCTCTCTCTTTCTCGATATTATGTTAACATGATAAATTTCTACATGTGGTTGTTTTGTAATGTCATGTCAACCAGATAATTCTCGATTAAAAGATTTGCGTATTTTGCCATGAATGCCAATGACAGCCAAGCTTTTAACACGCAATTATACAAACGTATTAAACGTATATTTACCATACAAAATATCATCATATTTAACCCAACTGAATAAGTTACATAATACTACCTTTATTTTAACTACTCTGTCTATCCAGTTATAGTTATTACAAAACTCGAAAATCACTCTTTGTGGACCCCTAGTGGAATAAATGTGTATATCTAAACACGGCACCACTTTTAATTACAAAATGTGCTATCTCATTATCACATCGAATAAAGAATTTAACATTTAACCTAAAATGTTCTCTACGACCCAAAAGAAAAGTTACTTTTGTACAGAACAACGACTCCTTTGTTTTAACCCACTTTGATGTTTTGTATTTCTGTCTTTCAGATCCTTTACTGTACTTTGAATACCCACAAAGTCAACATGAACCAACTCTTGGGGGGCCAAATTGGCTTAGACGATTTTATCTTTGTGCACAGAAAAGGGCAGACCAAAGAAGTTGAGATTAATAAAACCGATGACGCTCTCGGTTTGACCATAACTGACAACGGTGCAGGATATGCTTTCATCAAGAGAATAAAAGAGGGAAGTTTGATAGACCGGTTATCCAACTTTATTCAGGTAAGAATGTGAACATACCGGTTAGCCAACTTTATTCAGGTAAGAATGTGAACATACCGGTTATCCAATTTTATTCAGGTAATAATGTGAACATACCGGTTATCCAACTTTATTCAGGTAAGAATGTGAACATACCGGTTATCCAACTTTATTCAGGTAAGAATGTGAACATAACGGTTGTCCAACTTTATTCA